CTCACCATGCCTGCCATAGTTCTTCCCATTCTCATAAATGGGCTTTCCTCCTCCAAGACATAAAACCGATACGTCTTGGTCCCAAGTAAAAACACAAGAAGAGCAAGCATCATCGTAACGCAAGGGATTCCAAATCCAAGACCCCAACTGATATTGTCCTGGATATAGTTCAAGGCCCAGAGAGTGATGGCTGTGCCTCCACACATAGAAAAATACCACCAATTGAAGAAGGAGCTCTTGGCTATGGATTCCTCAGGATCATTCTGATCGAACTGATCAGCACCAAATGCCTGAACGCAGGGTTTATGGCCGCCTTGAGCAAATGCCACTAGATACATGACGAGGAAGAAGAAGGTAGTTTGGAATTGGGTTGGATCAGAGCAATCTGAAGAGGTGAAGGGTCCATCGCATTTGGGTGAATGGAATGAAGGCATTACTGCTGATAAGGTTAGCATTCCTAAACCCTGTGTAACAAATATAAGAAACTTCTAAACAATGATGTTGAAATAAAAAGTGAAGAAAATTTTAAAAACTATGATGGCACGCTGGACTTGAAATAAAAGAGATGCAATTTTTAGTTTTTGAACCTGATATATAAATTAAAGATGGTACTATGTAACTTAAGATGAACCATGTTGCTCATATATTCTTTGTGATTTTATTAACTATCTACTAATTCAGTATGGGTGGAGAGATGCCTCATTTAAATCTGTTTGCATTGTTGATATCTGTTTGAATCATTATTTGTTCTCGTTGAGCATGGATAGCTGAACTATCAATATGCCTATGTTTACAAAGAGGAAGTTTGTGGCAGTTATATTACACGAATAATGATAAAATATGGATAATCTAGAAGCATTTCAAGAAGATATAATTTGAAACTATTCTAGGAATTTGCACATGTAAGATAAGGGTAGCTGTATTCAAAGATTATCCACCATTTTCTACGTGAACATTCATGTACATACACATGATACATACATGTGGGTGTACTGCACAGTTGCAGATCCGGAAAACCTTTCTTGGGGGCCGGACTATAAATATCTATCATCCAAAAACTAAAATATAATATGACAAAACAACATGTGGACAAATAGGTTAAATTCCTAACTTAAATGGGCTAAAATTCAAATGAGATGCAAATAACTTTAAGTTACGGGGAGCAAATTGTATCTTAGAAGGGTTTGGAATGTAAATTTCATAAAATTAGGGGTGCAACTGCTCCCCAATGTTACATATAGATCCGCCACAGCGCGTGCTTGTTGGGGGTGTTGTGTGTGTGGTGTCGAAGTGTGTGTGTTGTGTGTGTGGGAGGGGTGAGAGAGGTTGGTTGGGGGGGGGGGGGGGGGGGGGGGGGGGATTATAGGGTTAATTACTGCATTTAATAAATAAGTGAAAGAAGTATTTCTCACTAGGCAGATACAAGCATACTTGTTTTTTTTTTTTCCTTAACATCAATTTTGGTGACAAGTGTTGGTACTTAGATTATTAATTCTAAGCAATCAATTTCTAAACTTTTATGCGCTATGCAACAAAAGCTGCCTTAATAAGCATACAAAAAATGTGACAATAAATCTTATTATTTTCTCATTTTTATTTGATCTCTTAGATCCTTCAGTGGATTGTTTTAGGTACATGCCTCACTGAAGACAATGTTTTCCTACTATTACAAAACCAGGATACAATAGCTACAATTGAGTTTCTAGACCCGTTTAAAACTAATTTCTAAAACTTTTTTGGGGAAGTTATTATGGGCAGTAACTAATTGAGATAGAAATATAATTCATTCCGTATAGGAAGTAGTAAACAACTACTAACCAAACAGAGGGACTACATAACAATTTCAACGATTTGAGCGACTAATTTAAAATTTTAAAGATTTAATGGACCAATATCGGAAAAAATCACCCAAACATTCTCAAATTTTAAAGATTTAATAAACTAAAGAAAACAGAAGTTGCTTTTAAAAGTATCATCAGATTGCTTCTAAAAGAATCCCTTTAAAAGTAATAGCAGTTTCAATCTGCTTGAAAACATAAATAGAAGCGCCTTAAAAAAAATCAATAACAGAGGTACCGCATAACACTTTCAATGATTTTGAGCGCCTAATTTGAAAACCAATCAATAAAAATCGAAATTGCAAGTCCCTCAGACCGCGAAAAAACCAAACTGACCAGAACGTAGAGCAGAGACGCGATGACGATGGTCCGATACCGACCCAGACACGATATCCGCAGACGACCGCGTCCAAACAGCGGCGTCATCATAGCCACCCGCGACCACGCGTTGACCGCCGCCGCAGTCCTTCGGCCGTTGCGTCGCAGTTGCGGTGAGCGTCTGATATCGAGGTTGACGAAATCCCATAAACGCGAACCTCCTCCGCCGCACCTCAACGGCCTGCATCACTATCATCGTCATCATCAATCTCCAATCAATCAATCAATCAATAAAAAAATCGGAAATGGATTGTGAGAGAAGCGCCACGATCGATTGGAAGAGCGCGGGAAGGTCATCGCGCCCGGTGGTGGATCGGCGGTTGATTGCCGGCGGGTCGTCGCGAAGTCAACGACGCCGGGCCAACGGACGGCGGAGGAGGAGAGGATCTGAGGATGAGGAGCCCATCCTCTTTCTCTCTCCTTTGCCTCGTTTTTTGCTTTAAGCTCAGGTTTTGTCGACTGCTGTTAATAGTTGTTGGGTCCCACCTTCTTGTTTTTTTTTTTTTTGGAATCTCGTTCCCTTCTCTCACGGCTGAGATTAAAAATGCTTTTGGGCCGCTGTAGATATTTTCTCGCATTAGGAAAACGTGGAAAAAGAAAGTTTAACCGGGTCCATTATCATCGATTTTAAAGTGGACGTTGCAGTGAATTTTTGTAGTTTGCATTTTTTTATGAAAGCCATCTTTAAAAGAGGTTCCATCGGCAAAACCCACGTTGAAGTTTCTTCATACCTAAACTATTTTATAAGTTTTCGATCCATCATTTATTGTCAATTTTTGCTCATTTAATATCTGTTATGATCACTAAAGATACTAAATATTAATCTTCACAGATAAGTCTACACGTGTCTTACGCTCTGCTTGACCAAACTAATTCAAAACCATTATAACATCCGACTCGGTACGGCCGACTTGATTGGCCGACATCTCGCGTAACCGAGTCAAAAGGCAGTACTTCTCAGCCCTGGACCTGAGGAGTCACATTTACCTTGAACCCCTCGCCAGCCGACTACTCTCGCATTAACTGCCCTGACAACATCATTATTACTCTAGCCCCCATAGTCTTTATGACTCACCGGACCCAGTCAGCACCAATCGCCTGCTGTCATTCCCACAATAAATGACCAGGTGACTCACCTCATTCAGCAACTGACACATAGCACATGTCTGATGACTCAACCGCCTAGCTGGACTCGGCCCAAGTTACATTCTTGCCCCCTCAAACCTACTATAAAAGGAGCGGCACTGCATGAGGTAACTCTCTCTGACATTTTTTACGTAACGGAGAACTAACTCTATTTTTTCCACTCAATATCAAATATTGATTTGATCGTCGGAGGAACAGTCGGAGAACCCAACTTCGCCCTCTTATAAGTTCCTTAGTGTACAGAGAAGAACAACAATCACCAGAACCACTTATCAGAAGGAGTTAGAGGACCCTAATCACTCCACAAACTCTCAGATAACCCCGTGTTTGATGACCGACATCAACAATATCCAAACTATACACATTAATTATATGTGTCTAATACGTGTTCCCCAACAAGATATGTAGTTAATGAGGATAGTTTAGATTAGTAAATATATTAATTGATTAGATAAAAAATGGTTCATTTATTGAAAACTAAACTTATTTATAAAATAATTTATATATACACAAAACTCCAAAAATAATTTTTATTAATTATACCTATTTCGAAGTAGTTTTCATGGAAAACCCCCTATTTATTAATTTGCTTATTTTGAGTTTTAGCTCAATTATTTGTACTACTTTTTCCCCAGTGGAGAGCAAACGGAGAAATTAGTTCTTCTTTAGGAAAAGCGTATAAGTACCGGGGTCCATTAGTTCAAGAGGAGAGTAAATTTCATGTCAACTAGAATAGTAGGTTGTGGAGACATGCCTTATAGTTTCACCATTGATGCATTTTAATACCTTCGGTTGTAAAACATTGCACTTAAATGCTCTAAAGTTTCTAAACATTGCGCTTAAATGCCCTAAAATTTTAAAATATTGCGCATTGATGCCCAATAACCATTAAAATATTATATGAATATTCTCATGTGAGCAGTCGCATGATATTTTGCTACAATTATATACACCTGAAGTTCTAAAAAGTTACAATTGTGCCACCCTTTTCCTTCTTACGCCTTTCTTTTTTTTTAATGAGAACTACCTTCGAAAATAAATAACCTTCTTCAATATTTTCCATATACAAATCATCTTATAAATGAGTTCAGCTTTCAATCAACCAAGTGGAATTTCTGTGCAATTTATTATCCGAACCACATAAAATATCCCCACTATCCTCCTTTCTTCTTCCTCCTTATTCACTCAACCCCCACCCTCCATCCATCAATCTCCACCCTCCTTTCTTCTTCCTCCTCGCACACCCCGCTTTGTCCCACCTTACCCTCCTCTCTCAACTCAACCATGGCTTGCACAGAAGCGACGAGGGTGAACGTCGAGTGGATGTGGAGGGAGGAGGATGGAGGCGGGGCGTAGAATAGGTAAGGAGGGATAAGGGAGAAGATAGGAGGGTATTTTTGAACTTTTTTTTTCCTTCTCTCCGTAGCGCAAGATTCCTCTTTGGGGGATGAGATGAAAAAATTAGAGGAAAACCCCGCTTGTGCCTTGTCATATACATGTTTCTCAAGTTACATGGATGTTTCCAAATTATGAAATAACAATATGTACACGCGACAGGCGCCACATCCCTCTTTTATAAATAAATAACAAAAAGGAAATTAAAAGAAAATCGATTTTTGTCATTTCCTACTATGGTGAACTTTTAGTTGTGAAACCTCCTCAAGAAAATTATCTGTGTGGATGTAAGATTCTGAAATAAGCTTCCTTGCTTGCAGAGCTTCGCGCTGGATGTGATCCACAGGTTCATCTGGAGCTGAGACTTCTTGGCTTGTTGCTTTCAACATTTGATATTTTAAAGAAACCAGGAAGAGAAATTTGGACCTGAATGACAAAACTACTACATTATGAAGTTAATACCATATCTAAACAAATTCACAACACTAAAGTTATTCTCATAATTTTAAACAATTTATGTAACTAGCATAAGAATTTTAACAGAGAACTAAAATGGACATGCGAGAGATATCCATAAAATATGACCTTCAGATTTACGTACAACGCCTTACTGAACTTTCCCTTTTATTTTAGATACTAATCTAAGCATTTTCTTCCTCTCCAAAGACCCTAGATAACAACAATCAGCGCTTCCTTTTTACTAACCACATACATCACATTTGATCCTAAATCACCAAATAAAGAGCTTTTCACCTTGAACGAAGAACAGTGATTTTTCATGAGCTTTTCAGATTCTTCCAATTTCAAGAAAAAAGAGGCCATTTTTTCTCGCCCGTCGCGTATGAAATTATATTTCTTTTGAGTGGCTCAATATATTGAGCACCATGGAATGCAGCGGCCCTCAGGACATTGAGGGGTCCGAGATCAACAGAGTAAGCCTTCTGAAAGCCATCGAGAATTGCCATCATGGCCACATTAGCTGCTTTCCTCTCCTTCTCATACCTCTTCAGCAACGAGAGCTGCATGAAGAAACAGAGCATGCGTATATCTTCCATTATCATAAAAAGCAATACAAGAAAAATAACTAAACAGCTAAGGTATATGCACGTCTGCACCATAGTATGCGCACTGGTGACATCTTTTTGCGTCACCATTTGTAGGTCTTTAATATGTACTGAAGACAACTTCAACTTCCTTCAATTGTAACTTACAGCAAGTTTGTTAACCTTAATTTATACAAATAAGGTATTTCTTGTCCATATTTCCACATCCTGAGGTGTAAAAAGAGTTGCATCCACTAACATCTTGCATCAAGTGGGTTATCCTCTGTAAGATTGAATTCATTAACGAGGTTGGGTCAGATTTATTCCAAGTTTTATGTCAACACATAGAAAAACACATATATACCTCTTTTAGACCTGGGATCTCCTAGAGTACTTAAACTGATAGCAATCACCATCAAGATGACTTGCTCAACTACTGTGGTGAAGGCCCTGTGAATATCCACTTCCATCAACATCTTGTGTGGCCATAGTATATCAAAGGCCCAACCCTTCTCCTACTCTTCTTTTATTTATTTTCTATTTTTTTAAAGATCATGCAGTTGTCAAAGAGAGGAGCCCACTTGATTGAATAACTAGGAAGTGTGATACAGAATTATATACATTGGGAATAGTTAGAAGAAGGTTCACAGAAACTCCCGGAATCTACTGCGCGTAATATCTTGACGGCCTAGATGAAGGAGAATCGCACCTTTTAACAACTATCAACCAAAATACAGAATAAATGTGCAAGATAGTTGAGTGAGGTTGAAGCTAAACCATGGTATCATGTAACGTAGGTGTATACTTTCTATCATAGAAATGGGTATTTGTGTGATTCCTTCGGAAGCCTCACCACCCCCCCCCCCCCTCCGCGACGTCGTACATTTTTCTGAAACATATTCCAATGCATTTGCGAACCGATTCCCTCCAATACACAAATTTGTTCTCAAAAATTGGCGTACTGCTTATAAGTATGAGGGCTGCAAAGTCCCTTCTAAGTGGGGTAGAGATCATCTACATCCTTGGTTGTAGAGAACATCTACAACTCACCAATCACAACTCCTCACTCAGTAGACCCAATGAATGATATTTTATCATGTACATTATATAAAAAATTCTTTTAATTATGGGGCCCACTGAATGAGCCAAAGCTATCAATCCACATAAACAATTGTAGTTCTGTACAATCAAGGATGTAGAGAATCCTTGCCCTTTCAAGTGACATGTGCAAAACGCAATGCAACATGCACAATCGAGTAAAGGGAGGCTCACAATAGAATATATGAATCAATGACTTTAATAAATACCTATGTTAATAAAACGTGAAATGAAGCCATGACTCCAACGCGAGCTATGTGAAAAGAAAAACAGAACAAAAGAATAAACTCCATGAAAAAGAAGTATTTAAGTATTTTGAATAAAAAATATTAAAATGCATAATTAGCTTTCTAGTTTCTAGTTTTCTACTATACACTTTGGAAAGATAAGGGCACCCAAAAAACTTTTACGAAGTACCACTAACCGTACTTACATACCAATGGACGTTACCCTCCATCGAATCCAAATTTTCTAAGTGGCGAATTGCGGACCCAAATTCGTATCATCACCCGCTACGTACCATGTACTGTGTAAATATATTACAAATAAAATTATACGAAAATTAAAAAAGGTGGATCAAGTTAGAAAAAGATTTCACATTAACCCCAAACTTCCCCAAAACTCCTAGCGTTACAACAATACAAGGAAAGAGATGAACTAATGTTTTTTAACTTCCAGATGTTAGAATGAATAGATCGATCCTGATTATGTCTGTTTTCCTTCCATCTTAGCCTCACCGCTATTCACCGTTGCCACACAAGAATTATATATATGCCCAACAAAAATTGTTGATATAGAAGAAAACTAAAGAATTTCCTTATGTGTGTCATTATTGGAATCTAATATACATGTATGTGTCCATTTCTATCTCGTGTCTTGTTTGATCTTTAAGTAGGTAATCATATGCAAATTCAAAAATTTCAAGTTCAAGGTTGCAGTCCTAACTTCATAAAGATTGAGAAAGTCTGACAGATTTCTCCATACAATGCCCAAAATCTCCAATTTCCACTAATATTATCAATTATTGGGTCAATGACTAGTCTCATCCTCTATTATGGGCAGAGAAGAAGTGAACTTTCTCCTATCTTTTATATATAACCTGACCATCTTTATTTTCTATTTATACACATCCTACGTAATTAATATCTCTAAGTTGCTTAAAAGTCATAATGAATAGTTTATACATTGATAGTTTGATAGCTCCATTTCTTGTGAGGAACACTGCATCCATGTATCATTATATAAAGTGTTTGTCACCCTCCACTCGATCCAAAAAAACCATACAAAACTTTCCTAGAATCCACAATAAAACCATACATAACACAGCGCAAGTGACACAGAGAGAAAAATCTTGCTATATAGAATCTATAGACTATAGCACATCATCTACTCCTGCCACAATCCATAAACTATTACAAATTTATCTTAAGATCGCTAACATGCATAACCCAAGAGACAACTGGAAAAATAAAGGTCCAATCTTACAAAAAAAGCTTTTATCCCAAAATCTTGTGACCAACTACATGAATCTTATCGTAGAAAAAAATCGATTAAGTAATCATTTAATTTGCGTTATGTAACCTAACGGACCTTAAACGTTAAGTAACCTTTTGAAATATATCAGACACGTAATAATTATACATTATTTCAACATAACTTACGTTATTTCAATAAGAATTTATTATAGTCTGAGAGTATTTTCTTTTTAAAACTTGAAGTAATTTTAAATTGTTTGTTAAGCCTTCATGACTTATATTGGTGAGATCATTATTGTAAAGCCACCAAGTTTTCCAATAGTTTATCCATTTACAATATTTAATAACAAGTTAATATTTTAAAACTTTCATATGATACGGTGACACGATTCAATTACGGCTAGTGAGTGAAATTTTGGGAGCCCGAATATTTAACAGCAAGCATATATGAATCGATATACTATTATCAGGTGAATATATAACATGTTATGTTGCAAAAGATACTGCTAGAAGAGTAGGATATAAAGTTGTAGTTGGATGAAAGAGAATAATCTAAGTAGGTAATCATGATAATAGAACATCCTTTGTATCAAATTGTAAGATTGTGCTGCACTAAACATTATATTAGAGATTAATTAAGGAATAGCAAATTAAGTTATGACACATCATCATTGATGTGTTAAGAAAAGAGCATTATCTAAAACTCAGGACCTCCTTATGATTGACACCTAGCAAGTTGGATTAAACAAGGGATAAATAAAGAGAGTAACCTAAGTTACCCGGACACTTCGTTTTAGGTGTTGTATATGTGTCGGACACAGATTCAATGCGGACACACCATGGACACGTATGGTTCAAAACAAAACCCCCTTTACTTATTACTGGTAACCCTAAACTAGTTTCCTTGGTATATCGAGCTCAAAACTAATAGATTTTTGAACCCGAAAACCAAAACCCATTAGTTCAAGTTTTAAAAAGTACTCATCATATCTCATGCTATCAAAACTAAACTTTTATTGTTAAACCTTAATCCTTAGTTTGATTTTATTAGATTATTAATTATTATAGATAGTAAAAGAAACATACATATGTTATATGTATTTTAATTCAATGTTTACTCTAATGTGTGTGTGTGTGTGTATACACACACACGATTCTCTGGACCTCCCCTCGCACCGTCGTATAGTTTCTACGAACTGATACCTAGACATTTGCAAACTAATTCCCATCAATACACGAATTTGTTCTCCAAAATTGGTGTACCGCTTATAAGTGGGCTGCAAAGTCCCTTTAAATGTACATACGCAATATGCAATGCAATGTGTGTAATTGAGTAAAGCGAGGCGCACAATAGAATATGAGTCAATGACTTTACTAAATCCTTATGTTACTAAAACGTGAAATGATATCATGATCCCAATATGAACTATGTGAAAAGAAAAATAGAACAAAACATAAACTCCATAAAAACGAAGCATTTAAGTATTTTGAATGAAAATATTGAAATGCGTAATTAGCTTTCTAGTTTCTAGTTTTCCACTATACACTTTGAAAAATGGTAAGCATGCTGACAAAAAACTTCGACAAAGTACCACTGCCTGACCTTGCATACTAAAGCAAGCTATCCCCATCGAATTCAAACTTTCTAAGTGGCGACTTACGTACCCGAATTCGTGCCACGACCCTCTACGTACCAAGTATTGTGTAACTACGTGTGTTGTTTGTGTATACGTGTCCTTGTATCCTACCTTTTACAAATTTGTCGTGTCTCATGTTCATCTCCGCACCCATATCAGTATCCCTTCAACCTAGAGAGTAATGCATACTCTCTTCACATACATCTCTCCACCCTCCATCTTACTCCTTGTAACCGATCCTTCAATCCAAAAATTTTCCAAATTTTAGCACTTAAGTACTTCGCGAACTTCTACAAATTGAAGCTCCTAGTTGAAGGTTGTAAGTAAATGAGGAGGAAAAGTGAATCTTATCAAGGAATGGAATTTCACTTTAAATTTGACTGTTATGTTCATTTTCTTTATAGCATTCATTCACAAAATTAAATAAATAAAACTATATTAGAAGTTTTTGTTTAGATAAGGAAGTAAAATTATAAAAAAAAGTTCTAGGATAGTTCAAGAAAGATTCGTGACAGGATGAATTGTTCAATAACACAATTAGGGTATCAAAGTACCAATTTTCTGCGCCCTTGTAGTAAAACCTCCTATCTCACTATCTAAGACCCGTATATCTAAACTGTTTGTTGTGTTAGCAAGTAGACAAATAGTATAACATTCTAATAAAAATTTACATAAATTTTGCTGTTGATTTGTACCCAGATTAGTCTAATACAGTAACTGTAAGGTACCAGTCCAGCTCAACTTATGCGTATTTGTAATAAATCGCGCATATCCTTTGCTGTAGTGCTCATAAAAATGTATCGTTTAAATAATTAAAAACTACATAAATATATCTACATGTGAATATGAACTTTTCTGTATTTATATTTCATGTGATATCTTAACAAGTTAGATAAAGTAGCAAAAAGAACTTGTCACCCTATTTCAGAAATTGTGCGCAGCCCTAGTAAAGAGTGAATATCTTTCATTATGGAACTTGTATAAACAATCTATTTGTGCCGTTAGAAAGTAGACTCAAATAGCTATCATTGATATATAACTTGTATCAACATGTGCATCTTCCATCAACATTTCATCAACATTACTCGCCATCATCCCCTCCTATCCGTAATAAATAATACAAAATTCTACTATAATCATTATCCTTGCTATTATAACCCAACACAAGTGGCGCAGAGACCAATCATGCTATATGGAATCTATAGCACCATAAAACTTTTAGAAATTGATTTTTAGATAACCAGGATCACATAACTCAAGTGAAAAGTAGCAATATATGAGGCGAACCTTGCAATACAGAATTTACGGCCTTCCGTCCACAATTTCCACTTTAAGTAAAAAAATAGATTATTCTACATATCCGGAAAAGAACAACAATGTGTATGGACCAAAGCCCAAGAACTTCGTATCTAAGCTTTTAGATATCATTATCAATGTCAGCCACGGTTTTGACGATTTCAAATAGTGGGTATCAACTTCTTTATACCATAAGCCTATTTCTTTGTAATCTGGGGTTATGCTACAACTACTATTTATGTTTGACTTAACTGTGTGTGTTTAATCCTTGTAAATTCTTTTTAAATCCTTGTTAAATTTTTGTTAGATTCTTGTTAAATTCTTCCCATAGTCTTTTGCTGCCTTGTTAAATTTTTGTTAGATTCTTGTTAAATTCTTCCCATAGTCTTTTGCTGTAAAAGACAACAAAAATTAAATTATTTTTTAACTATAAATACGTTTTCTCTTTAATTTTTACTTAACAAAGTTCTACTTAACAAAGTTTTTTACTGTAAAGAAAAGAAAATCAATATATTGTTAAATTCTTAACAAAGTTTTTTGCTATAAAATAACAGAAAAATTGGAAATTTTTAATGTACTATGAAATTAGATAACATTTAGGGAGAAATAAACTTCATATAACATAAGGGTGTGTCTTGTAAATTAAACCAACTATCAGGGTAAAGAAAGAATGAAAGTTGGGGAGAAAAAAGCATCATATGAGAGAAAAAAGCATCATATGAGATAAGAGCAGGACTTGTAAATTAAATCAACTACAATTGTAAAAAGGGACCAAAAAGGCATGTGGAAAGCATCATATGAGATAAGGGTATACTTTGTAAATAAAAGCAACTATAAGTGTACATAACGCACAAAAATAACACTTGGCAACCCAAAAAAGAATATTCCTAGAATATACTGACATCACCTAAAGGCAAGTAGCAATGTGAAACAATTGGAAAACATTGAAGTCACCTAAAGGCAAGCAGCAATGTGAAACAATTGCAAAACATTGAGTATTTAAGTGTATAACCACAGAAACGTTGGGTAATTAATAATTATCAGAAAGATTTTGAACTGTATTTAAGTGAAATTCAAGGGAAACTTTAGGTATTTAAATGTCATTTATCCTCTTTTGGTTAAATGGACTTGATAAATCAAATGACACAACAGATGCTATTGACTCCATGACCTATATTATCCTAGGGATCTAATGACAAATATGATGAATTATTAGCTTCTCTGTTTACCAGACAGAATATACTTGTTCTTAACTTGAGTTAAACCTATTCCGATAATTAGGGTACATTTCAACAAGTAAACTTGTAAGAGGCACGTTTTTTCCCTTAATCAAATTAGTGAGGTTCTGACTTGCAAATACCATAATGTTCAGGTATTAATACTGAAACAGACATGATTTTAGGGGTTAATTTATTGAAAAAACTTTTGTAGCTTTGAACTTAATCAAAGTATATATTCAATGTTCAGGCTGAAGTGGAGGGAAATTCAAATTTCTGCACTGCGTCATTTATTTATGTATGATCTTTTCTTAAGTAAACTGATGGACCTATTCTTAAAATCATAATAATCATTAAGAAGTTGGATGAATACCTCCCCTATATCAGCACCCACTGAGAGACCTTCAGCAATGACCTTCGATAACGATGAAGCATCTCCAAATCCTAAATTGACTCCTTGACCAGCTAAAGGATGAACGGCGTGTGCTGCATCACCAATAAGTGCCACTCTTCTTGATGCATATTCATGAGCATGCATCAGTGATAAAGGAAAGGCCATTCTTTCTGAGACTACATTAATTACTCTGGGAGGCACCTGAAAACATTCTGGTGCAGACGCGGCCCTCTGTCCAGTAAACTGAGAAAATGTGTCTAAATATTGATCAATAACACTTGGTTGGGGATGGGGACCGTAATCGTAATCCAATGCTTTGTTGACAGCTTTTACAAAATCATCCTCACTCATGGATTTGCGATCCAAAGATTCCTCAGGCTTCATCGTCCAAACAATGTTGCTGAACTTGTCACCTATAGGTAAAAGTGCAATAGGGCCAGAAGGAAGAAATCTCTGCCATGCACAGTGGCTTTCAACTGTATGTTCAACTGTACATATGACTGCACTTTGTGAATAATTCCGTGCAGTTGTCTTCACTCCAGCTATCTCTCTGACACGTGACTTGGCACCATCAGCTCCAACCTGTTAAGAGTCCAATAAAATAAGTATAGTTGAATGTATTTAATAATGAGATTTCACAGACAGCTATCAATTGCATCAAAAAACAATGTACGGATAGCTACAAACATCAGTCACAATCCCATAGTTTCTTCTAGAGAAATCTTATCCTAAGGAACAAAACCAGCTGAGAAATGGAATAACAATTACCACCAATTTTGCATAAAGGCTCTTTCCATCACTGAGGTCCAACTTCAGTAGACGACCATGACGCATCCGTTCTACAGTATTGTCAGAAGGCATTGTTCCCGATAAAGTGTCGTTACTGCTAGCTTGAGTACCTAATCCAGACATTGAGATCAATCTAGCAGAGTGAATTGTCTTCTGGAAATCTGCATTCTGTTAAGAAATGAGAAACTAATTGCAATATCCAAAAATACATCACAAGATATGTTTTGACGCTAAATACTGACACGTGTGTGAATAAGGGACCTGATTATTATATGGAAAAAGGATAAGGCTTAGATAACAAATCGTAAGAACTCGTTCACAGTAGTTGTAACAGCAGGTTGCATCAAGATTGGGAAACATTGAACAAAGTGGAAATAGGGCAATCTGGAGACAGTGGCTATGCATAAGAAACTAGATGGAAACATTGAACAAAATGGATAATAAGGCAATCTGGAGACAGTGGTTATTCACAAGCAACTAGATGAAATGCTTATTAGACCTGCCATTTTACTGAAGTAATATGACAAATACGCACTGCTAGTCCGCTGAGCCATTATTTGATTATTTGTGCCAGTAATTTATTTACATGTTTTTTCAAAACGCTAACTTGTATACCCATTCTTATTAGTTATAAGTTTGACGATCTGGTTCATAAGTTGCAAGTGTGAATTCCCATGCAAAAACATCATCATCGTACAATTGAACATGGTAATTTCAACTCAAGAATGAGTACCGAGCCATAACATCAGATATTAATTGTGCTGTTGAGGACTCTTATAATTTACATCAAAAAAAGTTGTTCAGGCCATCAGCAAGATATGTAAGAATAATAATGTATCCTACAGCGGTAATTAAGCTATTATTAAACACTATGAGGGAGTTCAAAAATCATATAACTGCAGCATATCAACAATGAAATCCAAAAAACCATAAGACCTAGGTTAAATAAAACAAGAAGAGGTGTAAGGAAACTAATACCTGCAAGGACAATAGAAGAGAATTGCAGAGCACCTTATTCTCTACCACGCAACTGCATCACAAGTTAGTCTAAGGACATAACCAGTATAAACTATAAAGGACTTATAATGTTAAATGTTGTCAGTCTTGTGACCAAGAGAACATACCCAAGGCATTCCTTTCCAACATCTCTCGCATTATATCTTGTATAACCCAATCCAGTATAGTCCCATACCTAAAAAGAAGGTTGGCAAAAGAGCACAGTAAAACCCCATAGCACTAACATCTATAAAGATACATCAAGAAAACTACCTTTCAAGGATGAAAGTATAAAATAATATTCCGGAAAAATAAAAGTTTAGTAAATTCAAATACTAGTAAATAGTTTTCGGTCATATGCCAGCCAAATGCAAGGCATGACTTGGAACGTGAAAAGGTGTTGGGCAATGCCATGAAATACTACCCCACCATTTCTTAGGCTTATTCTGCATATAAAATACAGGATATAACAGAGTAAACTGCGACAGAAAGAAGTTACTACAACAAGAGACCTGCCTATTTTCCACTTTTGAGATAGTCGTTACATGACTAAGGTCATAGAATTAATGTCATAAGACCTCGTCCAACACTCAAAACACAGAAATGATCCCAATTAAGAAAGAATTTGGATCCTCTCCACTACCAAAAAGTAATGGAGAGATCACTACTTTTTATACTAACAGTTTATTATTTTGTAAGTGATTGAGAATCATTCTAAATTTAGCACTCACCATACCTCCATGTATTGTACTCATAACTAATTTGCACTCAAAAGACAAATTATAACCATCAATTAGGCAATCAATGGTTCTTATAAAGTAGTGGCCTCCACTATTTTTTTGGGAGAGGATCCGAATCCATTAAGAAAAACTTAAAATTTTCATCCAAAATAATCTGATTACCTGAGACCACAGATACTAAAAATCTTATATATTACTTGAGTATAAATAAAGGAAATATATACTCACACAAATAGGATTAATTGCAGATGAATACCCTAACAATTTTTTCCTCACCAATAGAAGAAACATGCAAATTGTAGTCTTAGCGGCTGTAGAAAATATCTTAAGGCTGTTCATGAGCAGTGAAAAAATGACATTTCACAATTCAAAGTTGACACGGTTTAGGGGAAGTATTTAAAACTACTGTTGTCGAAGCTATAGTATTACTAGCAAAATAAACCTTATAAAGAATGTTGCAATTTTTTAGGGCCCAAGCATGCTCTGCATTGAAGTTACTTCGAATCAGAAGGCGGTTTATTTTCATTGAAAGTTAAAAAAACCCCTCATCATCTGGCAAACCTACAAAACTGTAGAATAAAGGCTTATGCTAAGATAAGGGGAAAATAGCAGCAGCAACATCACACTTGAACATTTGAAGTTATTCTTTCAAGCGTAAGAGACCATAAAGAAATTCTATAGACAAAAATAATGGACAAAATCAATAGACTTTGTGACGGGGAACGGTATAGCATTAAAAAATCCAAGATAAACAGTAACATGCTGAACAGTACACGCGTGAACAGTGCTGAGCGAACAGTGACCTTTCTTTGTTTTAATGGGAAGGCGGATTAATTTAAAGAGAAAAAGAAAAGAACACTGATAATAAAACAATAAAGATAAATTTGGGCTTCACACCCTAGGTAAATCACGTACCTAAAACACATAAAAAGCAACTCACACTCTTAATCTCAGCTCATATATCTCATTCATCAATATCTACCTCTAAAATAAAGAATACATGTTATTTATAGAGAAACTTGACAATAGAAAATAAATCTCAATCCTAACCACAAATCACAACTAATGAAACAAACAAGTCAACTAACGAAATAGAGAATCAACTAACTAAATATTAATCAAATATCAAATAAAAATCAAACAACATTATTCTAATCCTAAGTTCCTAAAACTAACAATAATACTCAGAACCAGCAAGCTGTCCTGCATCAACTTGCCTGTGTATCTTCGTGTGTGTGCATGTTTTTGTATGAGAGCACGCAGTCGTGTTTATAGCTGTGTAAATTGAGGTATCTTTCAAAAATTAGAAGACCGCCAGTACCCCCCCCCTCGCGCCCCGCCTCCCCCCTCCCCCCCCCAGCCCCCCAAACCAACAAAAAAAACAAAACAAAACCAAAATTTTGTCAATTGGAATGAGATGAATGGTGCTTATAGAACTCATTTGATATAAACATGAAACTTGTTTTTTCCTCTTATTACTGTAATGCAGAATCCAGCTCTCTGCATATTATAAATAATTGTCTGCACCAGCGACTTGCAAATGCAGGTTCAGTTCTGATACTATCGTTTGACACTTTATCCAGTGATTACTTTTTGTTATTTTCTACATTATTTTGTTAAAGCGCGGCTTTAACATATCTTCAAATCATATTCATGCTTGGTCTTCAAAATGTGGTGAGCTCAAGACAGCATAGTACTGACAAAAGAGACAGAGTACCTTCACCTGATTCCTCAGCCCACCACTCCACCAACATCACCCACCAACTCACCCCGCAAGCATGAAAGAAAAACGCACAGGAGCACCAACCCCCATAACAAGCATCACATATGCACAAGAAAAGTCAACAAAGTAGTGTGACAAAAGAGACTTAGCTAGTTCAGCTGACCCCCACCCCCCAACCCCAAAAAAAAAAAACAAAAAACAAACAAACAAACAAACAAACAAAATTTAACCCAAAAAGGGAAAATAGAAGAACAATGCACATGCATAGACATGTCTGTATGTACGGTAGGAGGGAGGGATTAGAAGAATACAACTTTCAATCTGTGGGGAGCATTAAAAGAAATTTTTCAACCTATGCAATGGGTAAAAATAAAACAAAGCCTACATGAGAAAAATTATACATCAGTACTGGAATACATGCATGCATGTCGTGCATGCCCCACACGCAAACTGCACGGGAAGGGGGGTTGGGGGTTGCATGGAAGGTGTAGTGGGTGGATATATGGGTGGGTTTGTAAGGGAGGAGGTGGGAATATTGGATTTTCAGATATTGCAATATCAATCAGTGGGAACATGAAAAAACATATTACTCACTGTGCCCAAATCTTCACATATTCTGATCTTAAAACACCAACTTGAGTGAGCAAGCCTTTACTGTAACTATGCTCATTCGGTGAAATTGAAGATTCTCTATAACATGTATAGTGGCTTTTTATGTGCATGTTCTTGAATCAATCAAATTCTGATCATAGTTGATTTCAAGAAATCGAGATGTGTCGATTATGGAGATGATTTTTGTTTAGCATGACATTTTGTCCCTATTCTAAATTTATGGTGCTTAAGGTATCAAACAAATTGAAGATCCATGTCTACTTAAGGACATAATGATGTATAGAACCTACGCTTAAAAGTATTGGAGCATGGTAAGTAGTATATTCTAGAACTATGGCATACAACTTATTGGATCAATTTTTGTGCTATTGAATGTCCAAGAGAGAGAGGAATAACAATGATGGTAAGGATGACAGGATTTTGAATTAACAGTAATATAAAACAAAGGAAGCAGCATATAGGAATTAACAGTAATCTAAAACAAAATTAAGCAAAATGTAGGAATTCTATTTGAGAAAATTTGGAGATGTGATCCTCTTTATCATAACTTTTCTATCTCACTATCTTCAATCATGTTATTCACTACTGACTACACATCTTATCACTAGGAAAATCGCCCAAAAATAGTCGTATGAATTATTCTACTACAATAAACACATTGCTGAGCTTCAGTGCATAGAGTTAGCGTTAACAATATCAGAAGTTTAAATCCAACAACAACCTGCATTTGATCGAAGAAAGCATGTCTCTGTTGTTGCACATACTCCCATGCACCAACCTCTGCAGTAAAAAAATTAAAAAAATAAAAAATTGAAAGAAAAAAAAAGCTTCTCATATGGGAAGATACAAGCTACAATCATGCAGCATTACTTTAGGGCCTGTTTGGTTGCCCAAAAAACCAGTAAACCACGTTATAGGAAAACCCATTTCCTATACACTTTTCTTTTTGTTATTTGGTTCACAATCAAGAGCAAGTATGAGATGGCACCCTGCCATTGGTTGATTTAAATTCAATTCTAGAAAACCCATTTCAGAGGGTTTTTTCAAAGGAAATCACTTGAAACCTATTTAGGTGGCTTCTTTGTCAGATTTCCTTTTTTTCTGTCTTCTGGGAGACTAGCCAAACAGCCCCTTAAAGAAAATAGCACATATAATTATCAAGCAATGCCGCCAATAGCAGACAAACACCGCAATACAAAAAATAGAACAAACAAAGGAAATGTCAATCAGCTATGACATCCATAGTGATAGTATACACTGCTATCATAGACTTTCAGAGAGAGAATAACACCATACCAATTTAAGTCATAATTTATCTGCATCAATTAAAGCAGAGCTCCTGCGAAAGGAACTGAGCAAGAAAAGCCTATGTTCTAAAACCTGAGGAGGGGTTGATGATGGGGTCAAATTCCTAAGGAGACCAGGTAAGTCAGGCCACCACTCAAAAACTTGATGTGGGTTGATAGATAGGAAGACCATTAATTTAATTTCTTCAACCACCAAGCAACTCTCCAAGTTCCTAGACCAGAACGTGAGGAAAAGCGCTTCGATGGTACAGCCTGATTTGTAGTAAATTATAGCAGTCTCAAAGGCACACAAAAAACCAACAACTAAACAGAGTGTCATGCGGCTAATATAAAGACAGAAATCTACTTTGAACTGCACAATTACTTACCACATTTAAGACGTAAATAACCTAAATTTAAAGATGAACTAACATGAACCATTTTAATGCAAACTTTCATTAACTAGTATTTGTATGCCTGGTGCATATATCTAGAGAAAAACAGACGCTGATAAACAATGATGAAACCAGGAATAATCCACTAAGTCAGTACTAAAATGATGTAAGAATATTTCCAAAGAATCGTAAAATATAACATAAACAAAATGCAGTAAAGCTTTCCTTTTTTGCTCTTTATAATTGATGTTCAAATATTTAGTGCTGGATGTCAACTTCCATTGAGCTTATGCCATCATATAACCTAGAAAAAGTCTGTCACTTCTAATTTAATTTTAACCTACTAAAAATTCGTCAAACATTAATAATAACGAATATAGTTTATAGTTATGAGAAGATGTTAATCAAGAATGATTGCAAACCTTTACTGAAGGGGATTCCTTCCTAGACCAAAGTTTTGGAGGTAAGGGGTCATTGAGCATTACTCGATCAAAGGTATATGATGGTCTAAGTTATCAATGTTTTCAAGTATATGATTGTTAACATCTTCAAAAGAGTGGTCATATGTAGATTCGAAAAACCAAAACATATGATTTCCCTAATTTAGTGGTGTCTGTTGCCTTTTTAAGAATCTCGTGCAAGTTGTTAAAGATTTCCTAAATACCCTTCATTGCATCAAATTCATTTTTCTGAAGGACAAATTTTTAAAAAGACCCTTTTCAAAATTTATTCAAAAAATCAACCCACTTCAAATCTATTTACAAAATTCGACCCATTTTCGGCCACCTCAGCAGCTTGAGCTGTAACTGGGTTGTCTTTTTAAAACTGTGTTTTTGTAATGCACAGGGTTGTCAACCCGTGTATTTATCAAATGATACTAATTACACAGGGTTGGAAACCCCGAGTGTTTAAAAGATATATATTAACAATTAAACAGGTAGCACTCAATAAATATTTTGCCTTTATATTTCCAATAGTTTCTAAATGCTAACCAAGCTGTGAGATGGACCGATTTTGTAATTTGAAGTCATTGGTTCGAATCTTAGTTCTATCAAATTAATATTTTTTTCTTCCAAAAAAGGGTATTAATAATGATAAGTGCGGGCTCCGAACTCATTCACTTCACAAACTAAAGCACTTGATCCAATACCCTTAACCAACTCAACCAAATTACATTTGCTAGTAATTTCAGAAACAATGCTATATATCTAATTCCAGCCCCGTATAATTGGCAAAGTTTATTAATTAATTGGAATTGCAACCCTGTGCTGCTGTGCATATTAATTCATCAACTAGTTACACGCAGTTCTCGACCTTGTTATTTGTAGTGGCTGATGTGACTGAAACGGGACGAATTTTGTAAATAAATTTCTAAATAAATTTTGAGAAGGGTCTATTTTAAAATTTTGTCATTTTCTGAACTAATTATTAATTAATGGCATGCAGATGTGGGACCACTACATATTGGTTACTGTCATGACATCTGCTATGAGATGCATTGACGTACATATGGGCTGTATATGCTTTGAGTGAGGAGTACGTATGCGTATGTGTGCATTGGGATAGTTTGGCATGGAAGGGTTGCTGGGAAATTCGTCTCTATATTTGGAAGAAATTTGGGGCACCCCCGCTATCCCTGACAGAAGTCTGTGGGCAATGAAACAAGAATTTACTAGTCACAGCTTTGTTTTAGAAACTTTTATCAGTTTCTACTTGAATACTACTTAAATCATTATCTTTTTTTTAGCTTAATTTGTAATAAATACACAAGAACCACGAATTCATCTGCCAACAATTATTTTGAACAGCGAAATTTTAAAAAAGAAAAGACAATAAACAGAGGAAACATAGATATGTTTACCTTTGAAAAAGGAAATAGTTGCTGGAGTCACAGTACTGACCCTTGGATCAGGTATTTCAGATTTCTTAAGGGTAGCTCCAGACTGCAGAGCAGGATTGCTATCAATAATCGCAACTCTCAATTGTTTTGTTAATGGCATACTTGCTGTAAAAGGTAAATGAAAATAGTTCAACATGATAGCAGAAAGTTGTTCTAGCTTCCACAATACCATAGAACAGATACGTTAGTTGTTGGAGTAAGGTTCATAAAATTCTTCTTCTACGTATGAGTAGAAACTGATGAGACAATATCATGATGAAATAATCCAATCACATATTATAGGCCGGCCCTCTTTATGAATTAAAAGCATATTATTATAAATAAATAAATTTGAAAACAATAATCCTCAATCTTTGCATACGAGAAAGCTTGAAGTACATAAATTGTTAATGCAAGTGGATGATGCAATTATTAACTCCAATCACCATGGTGTAGTCCTGATGATAGTCCTAATGATTAAACCGAAAGGTTTCCATCTTAGTTAATAGTATATTGATTCTAGAAAAAGGGTATCATGTGAGGTATAATAAATCATATGACACTAGTCAAGAGGAGAGGGCATATTAGCCCAGTCATGCAAGTGCCCCACCTGAAATTAGCGACTTTCTCTATAGGCTCTTAGAGTATATGTCAGTGAGCCTGGAAATGATGAAACCTCAATAAACAACAGGCTCCACTAAGCCACCTGCAACTAATGTTATGCCCAACTTCTATTGAGAAGAAATGGAAAGTCCTGTGCTATTTCTCCTGCGATGACCACACCATCATGAAGCCAACTTTTGCATGTCCCATTTCAAAGTAAGCAAACTACTTATTGAAACTTGGTGTCTGAACTCGGAAGTATACAAATTTGTTCATATATACTCAAGTTAAAATCTTAAGGTAATTTTACTTAGAAATATTGTGTTTGTTCTCTGAGAGATGTAAGTTGACATGGGTATGTTCCGAGGCTGGAGGATAATTCTGGCATCGCCCCTAATACTAATGTCTAAAGTGCAAAATAAGTTCTTCCTCCATTGGTACCATTTGAGCAACTAAATTTACCTGTCGCACATGAGTACCTCTAGTTACTATTTGTTTCTCATTAATTTCTAAAAAAAGGAAAATATCAGCAGTCAAGTCTTATTATGTCTCCATTAGAAGTAAAAATGTTATAAAATGGTCATAATTTTTTTTATTAAGCTTATTCTCCATTCATAAGCATGTAAGTATGTAACTGAGGATGCTTTCCATTAAGGTCCTTCACTTTTCAATAACTCAAAGATGGATTTTATCTCCTCTACAAAATTTATCATCATAGCTACATCTGGAGGTTCCAGATTAAATCTAAGGGAATATGAAAGATTGTTCCAGGAGTTCTTCCACTTTAATTGCATGTTTAGAAAAAAATATGTAGCTAAAAGACCAGCTTTCCTTCAATAGTGTTATGGCATGACC